TGTTCCATCATTAATTGCAGGATGTCTGAGAAAGCCAACCACAGTAGTCTGACAGGCTGAAGTTTTCTTTTAAAGACCCTAATCCTTTTTTAGGAGAGACTGAATGTTGTTCTAAGGGTGGTCATGATAATATCAGAGGAAGCTGGAGTTATTTCGAGTGACTTGATCAGGGGTAATAAGGGAATGTATCTAGGTCTGAGAAGTATTTCGAAGTAATCACTATGTAAATTTGCCAGGTTAAGTCTGTATGGTATCAGTTGTTACTGATTTGTATCACGGAGAGCATTTTTTTTACAGCTATCCATCTTTTCATCCAGGGACTCCAAAACACCGTGTCTGCATAAAAATCAGATAGACTGGTTAAATTTCGCTCTTTTCTACCGGTATTGTTTGTTCGGAGCTAAGAAAGATCAACTATATAGTTTTTTCTTAAACGAATCAGTTTGTTTAGTGCAGTTCAGGTCGGTACGGCTGTTGAAACTGACACTAAGTGCGCGGAAGGTTCGTCTTTTATTTCATGGTTCGTTTGACAAAGTTGTTTTGCATGTATGGCAAACTGTCTCTCTGTTACCAGAACCCCAATTTAACAAAGGGCTTTAAACCTCAGCAATTTACGTGTATGTTAGATGTTAGACTTTCGAGATTGTCTATAGGCTGGTAACCAACTTGACATTTTTAAAGTGTTGTGTACAGTTATTAAGGTTTAAAGTCTGGAAAAACCATCTACTTCAGTTTAGGCAGTAGATTTTATGGTAGTAAGACTAAATCATGAGAATGGCTGTATGTGACTAGGAGTCATTGATCTGTTAAAGTACATATTATGTAAACGAACTATGTATTGCATAAAAACATCCTCAATGGATATGGAGGTTTAACGTAATAAAATCCATAATAAGTTCGCTAATGTAAATATCGTAGTGCTTTCCGACATTTTTCAGACTATCATATTGCTAAGACGCCCGAGTCTTTTCGAGGTTGATTTTAACGAGTCCTAGCTAAGCGTCGGATGATTATTGAGGCCAATATTTTGAACACTATGGTTGTCAGCAGAGGATTTTTGTCCTTATAGACTGGGACGATCAGCGATCGAGACCAGTCAGACGGGGTTATATCCAGCTCCCAGATTCTGACTGAGATTTCAGTCAATCTAATACCTAAAACTGGGTTACTAACTTTCAATATCTCAGGGGTTAATCGATCAAGTCCTGCTACTCTCTTGGACTTAATGTTTCTTATAGCCCTTTTCACCTGACTACGAGTTGTACACATATGGATAGTGGGTAACTGGGATGCCACTGAAGACCGATTGAAAGTGTTCTCCCTATCCGTTTAATCCCCAGGATTGGAAGTGGATAATAGTCCCGTCTTTCTCAGAAATAAAATCCGGGATTCTTGTACCCGTTCCCTTGATAAGTTTGAAGGGTTGTCTATTGTTACCAATCGCTGCTACCTTTATTATCTCTGCTTCCACTACCTACTCCCCCCTCACGCATACGTAGGCTTTCTGTCAGCCTACATCTAAGCTGCCTTCGCTGCTCATCGTGTACGGAGCCAAATAGGATGGATTTCCGTGCATATATCAGCCTCTGGAACCCACCAATTTTTTGGCCTTTTGGTTTAAGTTACCGGTAGATGTCGCTTCTGTTTTCACAGCTTTTTAGATATTCTACTGAACCACCTCGCTGTACACATCGCTTTCACTGTTGACTAGATCTTTCTCGAGTTGTCCCTGAAAATATTCTTTACTTTTCCATCACTACGTTGAACTACAAGATTTCTTGCTGTTGCTCTTTTACGTTCTGTATGGGCGGCCAAACCAAAACGTGGCATCAGTCCTTGAAGTCACTAGCTTCTAGTGAGCCATGTTGGTAGATGTAGACTACTTGGTGGGGTCCGCGTGACTATCGTAACCAATGGTTGGAGACTAGGTGACATGGCTCAGAATCGATCACAATGGCGTCGGTGTATACACTCTTTGTCTTCCCTTAAACTATGAGATTAAAATCGCTTTATATCTTTCTTTCTGTGAACTAATTCTTTCTCCCTGTACTATATCCTTATATGCAATCTTTTATATATTACCACCTCTGAATTAACTATTTCTATGAATTCGGTGTTCATCTTGTTGTGCTAATGAGGTATGGCAACTTGGACCGATGCACATATGTACCTGGTCCTACGTTGTAGCTGACTGGCTGAGTGAAGATGCAAACAAACATGTGCCTTAACCAGAGCATTATCCGAGTCTAAACACGTGCTTCTGAATGAGCGACAGTCTTCTATCTGGTCCCTCTCGCCAACGATGGTCTATGGAAATATTTGATTCCTTTCTTGAGTCAATCACTCAGATCTAAGAAAGCAGATATAAATGTTGACTCAAGATCATCAGTGTGTTTAGTTTTGCTGGTATCATTAGTTCTCATACATAAAGTATGGCTGTTAGTCGAGTGCATCTTAATATAGTTATGAATAGGGAAATGCATGCAATTAATACATGAAAAAGCGAAGATATATGATGAACTAGTTTTAATGAAGTCAGGGGTAAAATAATTCTATTTAGACACGAGAGGCATCTTACTGCTTGTAAATAATACAGTGAAAAATTACATGGGTCATCCCTAGCTTTTATTCTGAGCCACTGACAAGCGTAGTAAGTAATCTCGACCAGTAGTTTTAGACCTTAGGTAGTATTCCTCAGAATACATGTACTCTTTATTGCTCTGGATCATGGGTTTTACTATTGTTTTACGCTTCACTACATTTATTTTTGAATCTTAACACAACACTGCTACTATTTCAACTTCGTGGTTTATCTTGTTCACTTTGTTTCGTGATGCTGGTTTGGTGACGCCACTTAAGCTGATATATGTATGCGGTAGGTCTTACGTTTATTACGCCTGACTGAATCTTTACTAACATCTCAAGATCTTGTGACTGTCTGACGCTTAACTGTAACACAAAAACATCTGAACTAGAAAAAAAAAACAGCTAGATTTAAGGTTTAGACATCAGAATACTAGCTTGATCTACTGCACATTGAATTCGGGAGTACAGGCATATTTGTTGACATCTAACAGCAATCGCACCTTTGAGGATTTCATTGAAAAGCACATCCTTGGAGAATGTGCCTTCAGATGTCGGACTTCAATTGAAAAGTACTGACTAGTTAGTGATCACCTACTGGTAGTTACGCTTACAACTGAACAGGGAATCAGTTGATTTGTGCTTTGGACATCCATCACTTAGTTTGACCTTGGTGTAGTCTACCAATAGATGGACATCGAAATATCATGTTACAAAATTAACCCATTGTGTCATTAAAGAGAACTAAAAGACCAGTGAAGAAACTTTTTTCAACGATATCACTTACTCAAGTTGTATAGCCGTATTCATGGTTATTCAACAAACAAAATAGCCTGTCAAAGAATAGGGAGCGCAATGCCTAATAAACTATTCGGGAACTCCAAGCGTTAAAACAGGGTTGCGTAACCATCGATAAAGCGGATTCCAATTTATGAGAGATAATTGTTAATTTGGAGTATATGAATGTTATAACTTGTGGCCTGTGTGCCCTGTTAATGTACAACGTAATAATACCGCCAATTAGCAGTAAATTATCGATCGGACCAGTAACGCATAAGACACGTACGAACAGTCTAGAGTCCTTATTGGTCTTGCTTCCTGCTTAGTCCAGCCAGTTAAGTCCAGAACACCAATCTCAGCCTCTGCGATATAAATCATTCATTTCATGCATACTGGGTTTATATACCAACCAGACAGACCGCACCGTACCATAAAATATGAAAAAACATTTGTACAAAAATTAGTCAAATGTGACTGAATGAGGGAGGTAGTAATTAATAGACGGCATAATTCAAGAATGGTAGATCGTATAATAATAGTTCATAGGTCAAAATGAAGCTTATGATAAGAAGGACATGAATATGAATAGTTTGGTTGTTTAACGATTATACGTTAAAAATATACGCATAGTATTGGTCCATAAATGGATCCCAAAAGTTACTATTTATCATGCTTATCCGGACATAACAACCAGGAAGACAAGGTAAAGTAGAATTACGTAGTATTAATAACGAATCATCAAAATGATAAAAACGCTAGGGGAAAGTTTTTTTCCTCTAAATATCATTCCTCTACTAATTACAATTCTGAAAAATCGATTCGAAAGCCATTCTGTATTCACTTCAACTGTAGCTTCACACAGACTGGTTGAACGGCACTATAGAAAGTGCTTGAATAAAGTAACTATCGAAAAAAAATAAATCCTACAAACATCCTGTCTTTAGTTTTCCTCTGTCATGAGATTCATAGTACATCAATCGAGATGTTTAAACGTACATAGTTCTGCTCGGTACATCAAATTAATAGAATGAATACCAATTGCTGTGATGTAGGCAGATAATCTTGTTTTTTTTGGTTGGTAATTCACCCGTTAAAAACTTAGGCTGCAATCCAAAATCAAACAAGATAAATGTGGTGGACATTCGAAACGCAACTCAATTTGAGATTGTTTTGTTATGAACATGATTAGAAAAGAAACTTTTCGAGACCCAATCCTACAAGAAGTTAGAAAGTTCCATCTAGAAGGGCGGTCTTCAAAAATCAGCTCTATAGAGCTTCAACAGTTTTTCTAGTGTAAACCCAATCATCGACGACTGCCCGTTGTTTGCTGAATGTGTCATAATCCCAAAGAAGCCATAACCAGCAATGCTTGAACAGTTGCATGTAGGACATCCTAGAAGAAATCGAATGAAAGCACTATCACGAAGTTATATATACTGACCGCATTTAGACTTTCAACTGGATCATCTGTCCAATTCGTGTACCAAATGTGCATTAGCAACAGAGGCACCGCGAAAAGCAGAGCTGCAATCATAGCCAATACCACAGTCACTGTGGCAGCGTATACACTTGGACTTTGCTGGCACACTTCATGGACAAACTTACTTTCTGGTAGTTGATGCATACAGCAAGTGGCCAGAAATTTTTCTCATGGAACACCCAACTGCAAGCTGCACAGTAAACTACTTCAACTATTCAGTCGTTTCGGAGTCTCATAATTGATAGTTAATGACAATGGAACACAGTTTACATCCGCTACCTTCCCAGAATTTCGTCGACAGAACGGAGTAAATCATGTTCAAACACGTCCATTCCATCCTCGATCCAATGATAAAGTGGAACACTGTGAGCACATTTAAAAATGCTCTTAAAATATAAAGGATAGGTGACCACCGAAAAATCCTAGCGAGGTTCCTGCTTATTTATCGCTCTACATCAAACCCTCAGACGATTAATGGGGTCTCCCCAGCAGAAGCTCTGCTTGGCAGAAAAACACGAACACATTTCGATGTCATCTGTCCTACGCCAGCTCTCGAGCCTCAACAAAGCGTATCGATGGGGAAGCAGTTCAATCAACATCATGGGGCACAAAGATGATTGTTCACGGTGAGTCAGAAAGTACTTGCTATGGACTATCGTGGAAACCATCCTACATGGACAGCTGATCGGGTCGTGCAAGAGAAAGGAAATGTGGTTTATGAGGTGTCAGTTGGCTCAGAAGTTTGGGTACATCATGCTAACCAATTGGAAGCAACTCCGACAACTAGCAACGAGACTCGTTATAGAATATCTCTCAACGTTCTGCTAGACACCTTTGAAATTGAAACGCCTAGAATAGACAGGTTAGTTTCTGTGCAAGCAAAGAGTGATACAACTTTATTGCCTAGATGATGGACAAATCGAAATCACAGGCCGGTCACTCGGTTGCAGTTGGACCCTAGCACCCGATCCTACGAACTTACTCAAAGGGGAAGTGTTAGCTGGACTTAGATTAGATTAAGGCATGTTTCATGCACGATTGCTTTGGTGTGTGCTAATTGGCTGATTCTTAACTAATCAGCGCTAGTCGATACTTGGAGAAGTCTCTAGAATTCTCTCTTGTAAAAACTATAAATACACTAACGTTTTTCTTATTGTGCTTCTTACTTCCATCTACTCTTGTTATTTGGAATATAATTTCTTTCCTGATCAACCGTGTTCTGATTTGGGGACTTGTCGAGTGAATTGGTGTCCAAGAATACTAAGCAATAAGAATAGCTGAGTTGTAATAGAGAATTATAACATTTTAAACCCTTTTGTCCCATCTGACCAGGTAGAAATCGTCACCTCAAACGTCTGTGTCAGCTGTTGTTTGTTAAACCCGTTGACACCGTACTTCTATTTAGTTTTACCATGTTTACCCAAGGTCGTGAATTTAAGTTCTATTTCGTATTTTTTATTAGATTTTGTACCTTTGTTTGGTAAATGGGGCTCAAACCCGTTACTCATTAGTTGTGTTGCGTTTGCGTACTTCACTAGTGTGAAATGATTTATATTAAAATTTGTATCAGATCAGTTTGTTCTCGGCAATCATCTTTTTTTCAGGTTAGTCAATCATGGGTGTTCCAGCTTTTTTCAGATGGCTGAGTATGAAATATCCATCAATTGTCACCCATTGTGCAGAGAAACGTGGAGCTATTTTGGATGATGATGGCAATAGATCACCTATAGATACATCGGAGCCGAATCCAAATGGAGAAGAATTCGACAATCTATATTTAGATATGAACGGTATTATCCATCCATGTACGCATCCAGAAAACAAACCAGCTCCAAAAACGGAGTCGGAAATGTTCCTAGCTATTTTCGAATACATAGATAGACTGTTTGCCATTGTTCGCCCTAGAAGAGTACTGTATATGGCCATCGATGGAGTGGCTCCACGTGCTAAAATGAATCAACAACGCTCCAGACGTTTTCGAGCGGCTCAAGAGGCGAAAGAAAAACAAATAACTATTGAGCGTTTAAGGAATGAACTAATTGCAAGAGGGGCGCATCTTCCACCACCTAAGGAAGAACATTTTGATTCCAATTGTATTACTCCAGGAACACCATTTATGGCACGTTTGGCTGTTGCTTTAAGGGGGTATATATATACTCGTTTGACAAAAGATCCAGGATGGAAGAATCTGATGGTTAGTTTACGATGTGATTAGAATGATGTGTTCTGCGACTTTTGTTTTAAATTGAATTGGCTTACAGTTTTGATGCATATTTATCACAATAGTTTGTAGTTATTGTGACAGTTAAACTACCTTGATTACATTGGTTAATTTTGTGTGGTTTTATCTTTCATTTGACCGTCTTATCACTTTTACATCAGTTTTTCATTGTTTCTTAATACCCTAATCATAAGATTTGATGTTACGGCAGTCATTTTTCAAAAGTGTTTGGGATTTTCCTCATCCGGAGATTATAAACGGTTTCCTAGTAATTAAGTGTGGTCTCTTTCGATATAATACACTAGAGCCAACTGTATAGCTATTTAATTTGTGACCTATGTAGAACATAGTTATAGTTTTCTGAATTCGTGCTACAACTTTGTCAGACATCAACCCATTAGAGATAAAGAAACTTTCAAGAATAATACGCCCAACTACTTCACTCTCTATCAGTAGTTCAGGGAGTAACATTTTGCATCTAAGGGGAGAGGAGCGCACCCCAAACATTCCTGTATTGTTGCTTAAGGTGGTCAAAAGACTGGATTTTGTTAGCGTCTTCACCACATAGAGCCATATCATCTGCGTATTTTAAGCCATCAGGTGAATCTCTTGGTGAACCAACTCCCGAAAAGTCAGACGATGAGTGTCATCTCTAAAAGTATGTCTATGACATGGTTAAATAAAAATGGGGAAAGTTAACAAACCTGATGAGCACCACTTGAAGTAATCAGTTCCGACTACAGTTCTCCATAAGCTCTGATTCGACCATTAATGTTCGAGTAGAGAGCCAATACAAGGTTAATGTACCTCTTTTGGTACGGCTTTCAATGACAGACTGTCAAATATAACCTCACGATCAACAGAGTCGAATGCCGCCCTAAGGTCAAGGGATAGAATTATAGTCGGATGTCGAAAATTATATGTGTTCCAGAATCTGCCGAATAGTGGATATTTAGTGTATACATCCACATCCAGATCTGAATCCAGTTTGATTTTCTCGAGCTTGCTCTTCACGAGTCCTAGCTAAGCGTCGGATGATTATTGAGGCCAATATTTTGAACACTATGGTTGTCAGCAGAGGATTTTTGTCCTTATAGACTGGGACGATCAGCGATCGAGACCAGTCAGACGGGGTTATATCCAGCTCCCAGATTCTGACTGAGATTTCAGTCAATCTAATACCTAAAACTGGGTTACTAACTTTCAATATCTCAGGGGTTAATCGATCAAGTCCTGCTACTCTCTCTCGCCTTAGATTAGCTACATTTTTTTCTATTTCATTAAGAGTTGAATGTTTTATGTTTACATCCCTTTCAGGTTGCTTGCTAAAAGTAGGCAACCAAAGGATAGCTGGAGAGCAGTTAGACTATTCTTCAAAGTTTTTGTTCATCGTTTCAGCTTTCTGAGTTCAGTGGATCATTGTCCCATCACTTTTAGAAATTGTCATCAATTCCTGGATTTTCAATCCCCATTTATTCGAAAAGTATAAGAAGTTTGTTTTTGTGTAGAGCCGCTTCCTTTTTCCATCGCTTTCACTGCTCATAGTCGTTGCGTAGACGTTTTGTCAGTTTACGTTTAAGTTACCTTCTTTCCTCATCGTGTTCCAAGCTTAATGGTTTGAGTTTTGGACATTTTATCAATTCGGTACGCACCACTGAAATCCAATAATTTTTCTTAACCTATTGATTAAAGCCACTCGTAAATATCATCGATGTTTTCACAAGTGTCTCAATATTATGCCAATCCATATCACTTTGGTGATTGACTAATTGCTCTAGTTCGTGAAACGTACTCTTGGTATTTTGTTGTTAAGTTGAACTTCAAGGGGTCTTCTTAGTATAGCTTCTATGTGTCCACTAAAATGTTATATCTACTCCAGCAAGGTTATCAGAAGTCATGATCAAGTCTCTAAATAAACAAAGGGAAAATTCCACAGGTTCTGTGCTTCAGCTGCGTAAGTTCAAGTCGATGACCACACTTGAATCCTGTGTGTTTCGGAGACATGGCGTACATTGATGGCACAGGATTCTGGAGTTCTAACTAAGTAAATCTTTTGGCTTGTTTGACATAGGGTTCGATATTGAAAGATTTGGTCATGATCAAGGGATCTCGGGTGCTGTTAAAGGTATGGTGGAAGTTATCACTTTTCAGTCCCTCACACTGTGGTGTGGTAGGATATTTCTTCTTGAGGGACCTAAAAAAGAAATAGGCTTAAAGGTGATCTTAAAGTCCTGAAACTGACCACAAAGGCCAACGGAAAACTTCTTAAGGTTATTAACTTACAGCCTTTTCATGTAAAGCTTTCAATGTGTCAGCTTTATATTTCGAAAGATTTTATCGCTGGAGATGGAGATTCGTGTGGATAATATGTGGTGTAACATTTTTAAGGTCAACCTTTTCTGACCTTTCTTTCGCTGTTAGAGGGCAGCTTCACAGCAGATGCTAGATGTCGGGGGGAAATACTCGCTGTCATATCCTTGTACATTCAGCAGTACGACTTCGCCCTCGGACTTTAAGTTGTTGCTTTTTGTCCTACTGTTCTTCAGCCGACCCGCCCTGCGTGATAAGACATAGAGGAACATGTGTTCCACTCAATATAATCCAGTTGAGTCGTCACAGTAGGCAAGCCCACCCACCACGTCAAGGTGACAGATACGATCGAGTCATTTGTGAGTGATTTTAGGCCAGTATCGAGTTTTGTAGGGAGATGGTTTTTAGTAGTCTCTAAGGTGGTCTTCAATTTCAAGTTCATTAAGTTAATTAATGGTTTATATCTTCTTCATTATTTTAAGGTATTCTTGAGTGACGCAAATGTTCCTGGTGAGGGTGAACATAAAATCATGGATTTTATCAGACGACAGAGAAATAATCCAACTCATGACGCCAATACGAAACATTGTTTATGTGGCGCTGACGCTGACCTTATAATGCTTGGATTAGCCACACATGAACCATATTTTACTATTATTCGTGAGGAATTTAAACCAAACCAACCAAAACCTTGTGATTTGTGCGGCCAGATGGGTCATGAGATGGAGGACTGCGTAGGTGCTCCAAAAGAAGAAGATCCAAACGAAGGTCCTCCCCCACTACCTTCAGGAGATGTGGTATGCTCATTCATTTTGCGATGACTTAATTATTTGTTTAGTTCTACTCTAATTGTTTTTGTTAACCTTTGTTTCGTGAGTTAGTTGCTATAAAACAACAAGCAAAAGTCAGCCCACATGTTTCACAGCTATTTCTGGATGTCAATAGAATATGACCTTAGCGTTTATTATTCATTATTACCACTCTTAAAACTCACATTTTACTATATCGTATATAAATCAACAGACAAGAGTTCATTCCATTTTTTTTCTAATAACGTCATATAATATTTTTCATAAGGTAGGTTTTTGTAGATTAGTAGTAATTTAACCTACTAACGATTTACAATAACACAAATTAGCAGTGACAAATCTGTAGGGTCATGAAATCAATCTGTTAATACTTCTCTTTTTGCAAGTCACTATTTCCGTTTGGTTTCAAGTATTTACATATAGATCTTAAGCATGTATTCTCTTGAAAGTATCATCAGGTATACAATGATTCGATTTGTAAATGTTTTCTGCGATAGCTTACTGAGTTTATTTCTCAGAATTACCTACTTCAGTGAATTTCGCAAACGAGAATTGCACAGTAATTGAGCGCGTTTAAACTCTACAATCAGTCAATCTCTAGATAAACAAACAAGCACTCCAGCAGCTTAATATGTTTAAAGAACTTCGTTTATGAAGTGTTGTAGTGTCGGTCACTATGTTAAGGCCACATGACTTATTCTAGCTTCTGAACAGGTCCATTTATTCATTCTTATTGAGTCACGTTTTAACCTTGTTAATTATTTGCTTATCAACCCTGACTTTTTATATGACCGTATGTATGTGTGCATCTTATCCTACTCATCACATATCTGTAGTTTATTTTTTTGTGACTATAAATATTGATTGACGCTTGATTAAATCAAGTTGGCTCACATGTCTTTTCCACCGCGTGTAATTTCGTTTCGCTCTCTCTTCTCTTCGCTTCATCCCTCTGACCGGTTGTCTAGATCAATGAGTGTATAAAATACATATATTCAGAAATCCATTCTCGTATTTGATTAATTTAGTTCCGTTATTCACTAACGCGGATTAAGTCGATAATTATATACGAGGATTGGCTAAATGTATATTTCAATAACGTTCATACGATCCAATTGGAGTCAGATATAGGGCCACAAAAGTGGTGAGCCCGTTGACAACATCTGATTTAATTGACGTCAAAATGAAGGGCCCCACTAAAATGTCACCAAACAAGCCTTCAGCACAACTAATGTCCATTTTTCTAATTTCCTTTAATTATTTGTTCAGTAATTAGCTCAGTGTGTAATGTAATAAAACATCCTGGATTTTTTAGATATCGCAAGACTTTTGTGCAGTTCCAAACATTTCATCAATTGCATTTGTTATTTGGTGAATAAACGATATTATCTCGCGGCATGGTTTGGCTAAATGGAATAAGGTTGTTGGGTTAGGGTGTTGGTCAACCCGGGTCTGTCAAAAACGACTGATACACCAGTCGACTAGTTTGTTGCCGGTTGTCTGGACAGAGGCTTGCTTGCTCGATAGTAGGCAATATCAACATCTCCAAGTCATTCAAAGTACATAGCGTATTTTTCAGTTGAATGAAGTTAGTTGAATAAATAAGTGTCCCCTCAAAAAGTGGCTTTTTGGAAAGCCTTACTGTACTAATACTAATAAATAATTTCATATATTACTAGTGCTCGTCCTATGTGTATAAGCTGTTTATCATTTTATATGCAGTGCTTCCTCAAATATGTTTTAATAAGTCACTGTAAGTTGTGAATTGTTTTAGATATAATGGTTATTGTTTTCAAAGTTTCAACGCTTATCCTCGTTCCTTTTCATTTTTATGTTTGTAGGATTTCATCTTTATTCGCTTGAATGTTCTAAGACAATATCTAGCAGAAGATCTGAAGTTGGCCGGCATTACATTTGAATGGGATCTCGAACGAGTCATTGACGATTGGGTTTTTATGTGCTTTTTCGTTGGAAATGACTTCCTCCCTCATCTTCCGAGTTTGGAAATCCGCGAAGGAGCAATCGATCGTTTGATTGAAATCTATAAGTCAACAGTCCAGAAAACGGGAGGGTGGCTGACTGATAGTGGACGAGTCAATTTAGAGCGTGTCCAACTCATTATGGTTGATTTGGGAAAGATGGAGGATGAGATCTTCAAAAATCGTCGTGAATCAGAACTACAGTTTCGTAATAGAAAGCGTCAACATTCATCTGGCAATGGTTATGATAAAAACCAACGCGGTTTCGCTCCACAGCGATTGGGTCACCGCCCATCATTCGAAGTGTCTCAGTCTGGTTTTATGGAACCTATTCCCCTAAGAGGACGTCACGGAATAGCACACCCCAAAGGTCACTATACAAATCAAGTCGTTTCTGCTGATGAGTTATTAGCTGCACGACGTTATCAGGGTAGATGTCAAGAAAGTGTTAATTGGGTGGATAGAAATCTAAATAACCTCGAGGCAGCAACAGCACTGAAAGCTATGCTGAAACGCGATAAACCTATTGAAAACGGAATCTCAAATAATATGAATAATTCCACTATTCTTCCGAAAATACCTCGAATTATTTCTGATAACAACACAAGTCCACAAGGTGTTTCATCTGGTCGCAACAACAGATCAGGTAATCATCACGACGATGAGGATGAGATGATGGATGCTGCAGATGAAGTACGGTTTTGGGAAGATGGATGGAGATCACGATATTATCGATCTAAATTTGGAGTTGACCCGACAGATGCACCTGGGTTCTGTATCAAAGTTGGTCAGGAATATGCCCTTGGTTTATGCTGGGTCTTAGCCTATTATTACCAAGGTTGTGCTTCATGGGATTGGTATTTCCCGTATCATTATGCTCCATTTGCTAGTGACTTCTCCAAAATCGCAGAACTCGATGTTGACTTTTCGAAAAAAGAAACAAAACCGTTTAGACCACTGGAGCAACTTATGAGCGTGTTCCCGGCCGACTCTCGTAGTCACGTCCCTCCAGCGTGGCAGGACTTAATGACCGATCCCGATTCTCCTATAATTGATTTTTACCCAACTGACTTCAAAGTAGACTTGAATGGCAAACGATATCTGTGGATGGGTGTAGCTTTGTTACCATTTGTTGATGAGGTTCGTTTGCTGAAAGCTTTGGATGCCCGAAGAAATCTTTTAACAAAAGAAGAGATTGAGAGAAATGTTCGTGGTTCAGACCAGTTGTTTTGTAGAGCTGATCATTCTGCTGGTCCATTGTTGCATTCTCTATACAAAGTATCACATGAAAAGGTTGAGAAAGATAATTCGGAAGAACAAGTCATACCAACTTGGGCATCTGCAATTGATCCACGTGTTACGTTTGGAATTAGTGGTCTAATCTGGCCTAACAAAATGGCTTACTTGCCTGGGAGTCGTGTACCTAGTGCAGTCCCAGGTCACGTTCCTGATTTAAAGGTTTCTGAAGCTGTATCAATATATTTTTCAGATCCTCAATATCCAAAGGGCTTCGTCTTTCCTTCCAAATTACTTGAATCCGTAAGTTTCCATATATTGTTATGTTGGATTTTTCCGACAAGCTTCTATTCATTACGATCGATTGTCGTCCCCATGTGACACAAATTTATATAGTAGACTGTTTTATGTCCTGTTTTTCCCCATTTTTTCTCCGTATGCATCGCAGGTGTAGAATAGGCGAAAAACATTTGAGCAACTTATCAAGGCTAGATGTTCATGAATTCAAAAATACTTTTTTAGTGTACATTATAAAGCGTAATTCTGTTAATCTTATTCCATAGTGTTTTTATGGAAGTCAGTAGAGGCAAAGCCATCGCTTTTAAAAAGACTCATTTTTAAAACATTCGTAAATCGAATAAACGATTGGGCTATCGGGTAGCGACTGTAGATAGTTGCAAGTGGAGGTAGTCGAAAATATGAATCACTAAGTCCCAATTGATTGTACTAATTGTAACACACGATTCGAGGTTTGATGATCCATGATACAGATATTTCTACGGTTTCGAGAGATCATACACAATATTTATAGTTCACAATTTAGCGCATGAATTTGGACACATAAAGTATTTGGACGTGTTAAGTATTATATTGACAATATAATACTTTACACATTTACGTTTGTACAAGTTGATCATCTCGCAACAGCTCAGTCAATATAAATAGAAATTTATCAATATGAATAAGATGCTATGATTCGGGAAGGTAAAACAATCGTCTGAAAACACTTAGGAGACAGAAGGTAAAAAGCAAATGGGTTTACTTAATTAAGTCTAGTTTCAATCCATGTCATCTAAGTCTCCAAATACCCTGGTACGGCCAGGAGTGGGGAGAGTCTGCTCTCCCTCTCGAAATGCTCTCACATGGCCACGTGCATACAACCACTTCAAGGGAAGTTCTTCTCATGGTGGAGATGTTGTTTATGAAGAGCGAATGTCCGGCGCTTTAACCGGGTTGGTGGATATGGAAAATCCACCTAGGGGAGTTGGAAAACCCTGATTCAAATCGATGGTGCACATGGGCTTCAGAATCCTGACGGAACAAATGGCATATGAACCAACCGTTGGTCACCGACTACTATGGGATTGCATCTCGTAAAGTTGCTCCACTGCCTTGTAGATTAGACTTTTAGGTCAAAGGTTCGGACTATGGCCCCCTAAGAAAACCTTTTACTTGGTTTGGGCACCCGGGCAATGTCCCAGCCCCCACACAACTCGAATGATTTATGTGGCGCATATCTATTTGGTGTCTCCTTGCACCAATGTTTGTGTTTAAATAAAGTAAATGTCATCTAAGATCTTCAATTACAGGCTTTCGCCTTTCTGAGGGTCTCGGTGTTTGGCGGGATTGCAGTTCTCAAGCCTTGGAATTCCTATGAATCATAAAAGTATTTTAGTAATCAACTCGTTTGTTTTCGGATCATCAAAATTAGATTTCTAACCTTTTATGACAAATATTTGTAAAGATTAACAATTGAGAATAGTGTACGGTAACTTTTTCTAGATGTTATAATCTAGTTTAATTCAAATACTGATTTGGTTCCGAAGTTGTACGTAACTTACAAAACTCGTAGTATTCTCAGTTTGAATTTTTAAAATATCATTTACCAAACTTGTGATGAATAAATGGAGTTTCTTCTGTTTTTTGAAGGTTAAAATGCCACCCCCAGTGTACCTTCAACCTCCTCAGCGTGGCAGAGGAAGAGGACGAGCAAGTTTTCGCACCGATGAACATCGTGGACGTTTTAATGCCAATGCGGCTATGCAGTACTATGCTCGAGACAATTCGTCAGATAGGGAGGATACTGGTAGAGATTTTTATCCAAACTCACCGATGAACAGGATGGTTATGAATTCATTACCACGATATCAGCGCAGTCGAGGTAGCCACTTACAGTATTCATCTAAATCAGATTGTGGCAAACCAAGTAACAACATTCCAACAAATTGGCGACCTGGGTCTTTTAATCGTTTTCCTTCTCAAAATGATGCTTATCATCGAGGTGGACCTGCCTATCGTCAATCTAGTAGTCATCCATACGCTAATCCGTATTCTGTCCATCCTCCAAACTTCAGTACAGGTCTTTCCAATTCAGTCGTTAAGAATAGCCGCCCACCATGGTTGCCTCCAAATGGTAGGGGTTGATCAAAATATCAAAGCTTCTACTACTTTTTTTCATATTCATACTACTTTCTTCCTGCATTTTTATATTTTATTATTATAACACAATATTAGTTGTATATGATGTAGAAATTATTTTGCGCCTGTACAACATAAGTAATAAATATTTACTCCTTTCTTCACCAATTCTATTTACATTAACATGTATACTAGTAACTGTATTCTGGCACAATCAAATAGAAAACTTTGATATGGCAATTTGTATAGTGAATATCACTGATCATTTGTCAATTTCTATTTAACAGCTGAGTAGTGACACTAAATTGTGAAAGACTAATATAATTTTTTCGAAATTTCAGCTGTTAATATAAACAATTGATATTCTGTTCCAAAGATTTTTATTAATTTCCTCATTCTTAGTGAATTTTTAAACCGTACTTGTTACGTAATGAACAACTGGTACTCAATTCAACTAAATGACTCCATAAATAATAATCCATAAATAATTCACAACCTAGGTTCTCATTGTTTTAGATTATTCACTGTCCTAGCCACTAACAGTTGAATAAACACTGGATGATATTTTTTGCTACTTTTACCATGTGATAATGCGAAATACCTGGGTATTTTTAAATCTGTTAGGTTTAACTTAGTACGATTTTGCATGAATATTCCAGTTCTCATAAAAGACTTAAAACTTTCAAAACCGTGATGGAAGATTTTTTTAACGAAAAGCAATGGGCCAAACAAACGTACCCCGTTCTTTGATATGCTCAAGAGTTTGTAAGAATGTATTTTACATAATAGTAAGATCGTATAGTCCGTAGTTCCAGTGAAAATGAGTGGATATGCATGAGTACTCACTGCTGAAAGTATGATAGATTTTACTCACATTAACTTGCGTTCCAAATTGAATAGGTCATGAAAGCTTTATTTATGACGGAATATCATGAAAATACAATTCATGACATCCTCACAGGTTTACACATTAGATTTCAAACCATACCACCACTTCGCTTACGGTTTCTGAATTAGACTACAGATTGACAAGTAATGGTCATACGATTTCAAGCATTCTGAGCATAGAAAGGAAATTAATGATTCTTACTGTATCGTTATTGATATCTTAGCTCAGCTGCGCCTCACTCAAAAAGTATAGACCATCTAAACCTCAGCCTCCAGATTATTGTACACATAGGACTGCTATTCATTTCAGTTAATTTAAAACTAGAGAGAATTTCGAAATGGAACATTGCATTAGTTATTATTCAGGAGTGGTTAAGGTCCTGTTTTTTGTGCTGATATATTGATATGTAATATTAGGGCTGAATAAAATATCGTCTCGCCAGTAAGTTTTCCTGAACATTAAAACTGAGTCAGTATGAAAGCCAGCTCCTGATTTTACTTTATTTTAAACACCTACCCTAGCATGCTGTTTATCACGTTCAACAGTTATTTCTTATAAATAGCATTAACCGACCTAAGTTAGACTTCTACTGAGAACCATGAAGTACTAGACAGCTGTTTCGTCCTAGTGTGAGAATTTTACCATCTCACATCCCTAATCTTACCGAAGATATATATATATATATATATATCAGCGCAGTACATTTGGGGCTAACCACACATTAACTTGTTAAGAGGGTCGACATAGACAAACTGGATCCTAAGTGTAATAAGGAAAAGACGAAAGCACATTACTGTGAATATTGTATTTAAATTAGCAGATTACTGGGGCAGGTTTAATGTAAGTGCAATGGATAGGACTGATTTTTCGTATGGTTAGATCTTCAATATATGATAGGAACCATCATTCTACATAAAGTGAGCCTGAGATTGACCTTACTCCCTGTTTCAATGATATATCGGGTAATAAAGAAAGATGGCTGTTTGAAATCTGCTTTTATTAGGTCCTTAGGATTTGTTTGCTTATGTAAATATTTCAAAATGTTTTTCTGCCTTTTAAAGCTATGGCTTCTCATTTAAATGTATGGGCAAGAATACACATAAGTGTTGGGATGTGACTCGTTTGTTCACAACTTACTAGGGTTTGCAGTGACTCCCGTTAATTGGTAATGATGGCAATAATCAAACAGTAATTCCTATAGATAGCCTGTCTAAACGTTCTTTTAAATACATGTCTACAAAATTCACATATGAATGATAATAGCTGAATAATTGATATTTGATAAAAAGATTATTATAATTGCTATTCAATATGAAAATAATTTCGGCAATTAACTGTGTCAAATGAAGAAGTTATGGAAATCAACAATTGTTGAACAAGAGAGGGTGCATAGTAGAACTCATGTGGAATCAACCTGAAACCTTCAATTCTCATATGTGAACAACTTACCATTCTGTGATATCTAAATTTAGGAATTGGAATGATCAGTGAATCCAATAAAGTGATTCAAATAGATGAAAGGATCTATCTGTATGCTCATTCACTTCTTTCTACCTTAATATTTGTCATTAACTTGTGTAACCATATAATAATGTTAAAACGGAATGATATTTTCATCCTTATCAAGTGTGATGGTAAGACGAGTAGTTAGTTTATGCAACATCATCACATCAACAAATTGAAAATCCACCAACTTCTCGTATTCACCAAAATAAATAGTCAATTCTTAATAAATACATGCTTTGTTATGACCCAATAAGTAGAAAAGTTGTATTTCTGACGTTTCGTGACTTACTGTAAGCGAATTCTTCCTAGTAGATAAACAAAAGAGTTAAATTAGCGCGAGTTCAAATAGTACTATATTTATTACTAACTTTCTACCCAATACTCAATTTATTTGAAAATATCAAGTCTAACATTGGCATTGATACTTATAGATAGTCAATTATTACAATAAATAAATAGCATCACATGGTTACTCAGAGATAACCAGCCTGCAAACAGAATAACTTTCTCAAATACATATTTATTTTATCTCACTCAGTTGCCTCTCTGCTTTGTGCTCTGAGCTATCTGCTAATAAAACTGTAGTTGCTGTTTCTCTTTGCCTTCTGATTTCAAACACCGTTGAGGATTATATGGTAACGGTTACGAGGGTGATTGGTTAACGAAGCACAGCCACTACAGAACTGGTAACCCCGACGTGAGAACGAGAAACGACTTTCGACGATATTATCAAATTCTAAAATTCAATGCACTTCGTCTCAATTTGGATTATCACATGGACTATAATCATAACTGTGGATTTATTATATTACTATTTTAATTAGACGTACATTATTTCACAAAAATTATTGAACGTGACGATAATAATAAATAACGATTATTCACAAACATTTGATATATTGGTGCAATTTAGTGAGTCTGTTCTATGTTATGAATTGTACCATTTGTTATTATCATTGTTTTTGCCCGTTTATTTTTCTTTATGACAGTTACATTATATTCGTGTGCTATTTAAATTTTTTATAAACATGTCTTCAGAAAACACTGTCAAGTTTACAGCAAACCCCGTCCGTGAGGTATCTTAGACTTCCTGTCCCCTCTTTTAAAGTCACCGACCCAAAGCTCTGGTTTATTAGACTTGAAAATTATTTTATGGCTAACCACATTAACTTAAAAGAAATAAATTCGACCTCACAAGCACACTCTTTCCAGATGAAGTAGCAGATAGCGTACGAGAGGCGTTGCGAAACCAGACACTAAAAAGCCATACGACGTGCTAAAGCAAGCAGTAATTAAAACTCTCTCTCTCTAAGTGACCAACAAGCTGTTGGACAGCTTTTTAATCAAGTAGAAATGGGGGACAGAACTCCGTCACGGCTAAAAACGTATATGAAAGGTCTGCTGGGCGATAGGCAAATAGGAAATAACCTGTTTTATCAACTATGGCTTCGTCGACTCCCGTCAAATGTACAGCAGATCCTAGCCGTCGGAAATACGGACGCCGATATAGACAACATAGCAAAAATAGCCGATAAAATATGCGAAAGAACCAAGCAAACAAGCGCTCCGTTACACAGCGTGACGGTAGATGATAGAATTAATACCCTACAGAAAGAGGTAAATGTTTTGTGCCGCAAGCTCACAGAATTAACACAGAGCAAAAGGCCACGAAGATCATCACGAAATCGCTCGCGCGACAGAAACCGATCAGCTTCTAGACGGTGCACAGCTCCCTTGATATGCTGGTATCATCATATGTACGGCTATAGAGCTAGGAAGTGTTTACAACCTTATAGCTTTAGCATAACAGGTGAGCGATACCCACGATTGTCAATGGAGACGGCATCAAAGGACATAATTCCTTCAAGTAGTCGCCTGTTTTATATACAAGACCGAACGATAGGCGCGCAATTCCTAGTTGATACTGGAGCGGAAATCAGCGTAGTACCTCTAGTAAGCGAGGGAGAAGAAACGTTAATGCGTCACTAGTACTTAAAGCAGTGAACAAATCTGATATCAAGACATACGACAAACGAAAGTTTTCCTTAGATTTCGGACGAGGCGCTTCGTACCGCTGGGACTTTGTCATAGCAGACGTATCAGTGCCCATAATAGGCATCGATTTCCTATGTAACTTCGATCTGCTAGTACACCCGCGGTGTCACAGACTTATAAATGGTAGTCACACCACTTCGATAAGAGGAACACTCACGTAAGCCGTTTCCATGAATCCAGTGATAGATAAAAGCCGCGGTGATCCATATAAATTGTTGTTAAAGGAATTTCCCGAACTCGTGAAAGTAACGTTCAATAAGGTGGGTCTCAAACACTCCATTCAGCACCATATCATAACGAATGGGCCACGAATTAATGCAAGACCAGGAAAATTAGACCCAAAAGACTAGCAATTGCAAAACAGGAATTCGACAAGTTGATGAGGCTGGGCATTGTAAGGCCTTCGAACAGCCCGTGGGCATCCCCATTACATATGGCCCCGAAAAAGAATGGAGAAGTTGGGCCATGTGGAGACTATCGAGCATTCAACAAGCAAACAGTAGCTGATAGATATCCACGATTTTACATACAGTATAGAAGGCGCTACTGTCTTCTCGAAGATCGACTTAGAGCATACTATCACATTCCTGTTGCTCCACAAGACATACCAAAGACAGCGGTAACGACACTATTTGGGCTGTATGAATTTCTATGCTTGCCTTTCGGACTGACTAACGCAGCGCAAACCTTTCTACGGTTTATCGACCAGGTCATCAGAGGTTTACCTGGAGTATACGCATATATCGATGATTTACTAGTAGCCAGCACCACTAAGGATGAGCATATACAACAGCTACGACAATAATTCATGCGACTGCGGGAACACGGCATTTCCATAAACATTGAGAAGTGTGAATTTGGTAAGGAATCCTTACAGTCCCTATGTCTTATTGTAACTTCTCATGGCATTACACCAATAGCAACAGAAGTCGATGCCATCAGAAATTATCCGCTACCCGACTCATAGAAGGAATTACGACGATATATCAGGTTAGTGAATTCTTACAGATGATTTATTCCGAATTGTGCGGCAATATTGCAACCATTAACGGATGTGTTACAGGGACACGCCCGGACATTCCATTCATCACCAGAGGTGATACAAGCATTCGAG